CAGACTTGTCACCTCCCAAAAGGCAGCGTCATGACACCCCAGACTTGTCACCTCCCCGGCGGCGACAGCGTCACGACACTCCCGACCCCTCACCTCCCAGGAGACAGCGCCATGATACCCCCGACCCCTCACCTCCCAGGAGACAGCGCCATGATACCCCCGACCCCTCACCTCCCAGGAGACGACGTCATGACACCCCAGATCTGTCACCTCCCCGGCGGCGACAGCGTCATGACACCCCTGACCCATCCCCTCCCAGGAGACAACGTCACGACACCCCTGACCCATCCCCTCCCAGGAGACAGCGTCATGACACCCCTGACCCCTCACCTCCCAGGAGACAACGTCATGACACCCCTGACCCCTCACCTCCCAGGAGACAGCGTCATGACACCCCAGATCTGTCACCTCCCAGGAGACAGCGTCATGGCACGCCAGACTTGTCACCTCCCCGGCGGCGGCAGCGCCATGACACCCCTGACCCGTCCCCTCCCCGGCGGCAATGTCAGGATTTGTCACCTCAGAGAGAGAAGCCAGGGTCCCCAAGTGGGAAGAAGAGCCAAAGGAAAGGTGAGTGTCACACGTGGTGTCCCCCTGGGGACTCCCTGGGATCCCTGGGCAGCTGCTCCGCTGGCACAGGATCCCCTGAGCGTGATCCTCCTGGAGGAATCAGCAAATCCTCACTCTCAGATTTGTCTCTTCCAGGACGGACTTCACCCGCCCAGAAGGAGCAGCACAGGTCACGGAGTCCCCCAGGCTCTCCCAAGAAGGTAAAGGGTGTCTGTAAACTGTGCAAGTCCAGTGACTGACAAACTGGGGAAGTTTTGGTTCAAATGGAGGTAACAGGGCTGTCCCTGTGGTTTGGGTCACCCCTCGTTCTGGCTGTCCCCCTCTCAGGCAGCTGGAGCTGTGGGCTCTTTGTGCTTTTTAGGCTACCACGATGTCATCCGGGGTCAGAGCTGGCCTGGTGTCAGCTGATGTGCTGCAGAGGGAGAAGAAGGAGCTGCGGAAGCACGAGAGGAGCACCAAGCACCTGGAAGGTGGGAGTGTGGAACACAGCCCGAACCCAGCTCCTCCTCCTCCTCTGTTAGGCCTTGGCACTGGGATGCTGATGGGGAGCATCCCTGTGGAGTTGCAGCTGCACATGCTGCTGGAAACCTTGGCCAGGGTCACTGTTCCACATGGGAGGTTCAGAGCAATGCCAGGGAAGTCACAGGGAGTGTGAAATGCTTTTCCTCTGCAAGTCTGAAGGAGCTGATGGATAATGAGAGCTCGGGGTCTGTGTGGGGCAGCAGGGAAAAGCAGGAGCTGAGATCCTGCCTGCCTTTGGGTGGCAGGCTCTTTGGGAGATTAGGACAAGCAAAAGAGAAGTCACAGTTAAAGTCATTGAATTGTTCCAAAATGTGTGACTGGAGGCATCTGTCCCCACCAGAGGAATCACGGAACGCTCAGACCGTGTTCCGAGACAAGTCTGGCCGCAAGAGGAACCTGGCCCAGGAGCAGCTGGAGCAGAAGCTGAAGGCTGAGGCAGAGGCCAAGAGAGAAGAGCAATATGCCAAGTGGGGAAAAGGGTGAGTAAGGGACTCCTAAGCACAGTCCTTGGGCCTCCCATATCCTGGTTTCAGTTTGGATCTGCTAACAGACCAGTGCTGTTGCATTTCACTTCATTCTGAGGTTGAGCCTGGGACCAGCACGTGCCCCTTCCTTTGCTGGAGGTGCTTTGGGAATGCTGCACAGGCAGTGGGAGCTCAGGGGTGTGACCCATCCTGCAAATTGAGCAAATCCCATGGAGTGATGGCCTGGGTTTGGGTGACACTGTGTGTTTTCCAGGCTGGCACAGGAGAGGCAGCAACAGCAGAACGTGGAGGATGCAGTTAAGGAGATGCAGAAGCCCTTGGCCCGTTACATCGATGACCAGGACCTGGATCGAATGCTGAGGGAACAGGAGAGGGAAGGAGACCCCATGGCTGCTCTCATCAAGAAAAGGAAGGCCAAGGAGAACAAGGAGAAAGGTTTGGCTCTGGAATGCACCTGTGTGTGGTTTAGGGTTTATTTCAGTGCAGAAATGCAGCTGCAGTTCAGTAAATAGCCAAAGGCTGCTGGAGCAGCTGAGTCCTGGGGGACTTGTGGACTCTCTGGAGTTACTGGCTTGTTACCAGTAACAGTTACAGGAGTTGTTAGCTGGGAGAGCAGGGCTGGTGACTGAAAACTCAGCAGTTTGTCACAGTGAGCCTTTGGGAGTTGTAGCTGGCTGTCAGGTGCTCTCTACCTGTACCCACTGCGGACACCTCCTGGGTGGGTGAGGATGTGACCACCTGGCTGTGCTGAAAACAACTGTTCTGCTTTTGTGTTCCAGAAAAGCCCAGGTACAAGGGACCAGCACCTCCACTCAACAGGTTTAACATCTGGCCTGGGCATCGCTGGGATGGTGTGGACAGGTACTTGTTCCTGTAGGAATAACAGTAAAAATGAAGGAGTTTTGCTTCAGGGAGTTCCCAGTTACGGGATGAGTGAGGGTGTTGGCAGCTGGAAGGCTGGATTCAGTTACAAATGGGTGATGGGACAGATGGGACAAGGGGAGGTGGGGAACTTCAGAGGCATCAACTCTGGCTAACCACAGGTCCAGATGGAAACTGAGCCAGAGTAAATGAGTGGAAGACTTGTATGGTCAGTGTCACTTGGTGTCCCTTTGCAGGTCCAATGGGTTCGAGCAGCAGCGCTTTGCCCGCATTGCCAACAAGAAGGCAGTGCAGGAGCTCGCCTACAAGTGGAGTGTGGAGGACATGTAGGGGAGAGCTCCTGCAGGGACCCACAGGCACCACCGGCTGCCAGAGCCCTGGGGAATGGCTGCTCTCCCTGGAACAAGCCCAGTCCTCAGCATTCAGCAGCCCACTGGACCATCTTCCAACAGGCAAGGCTGGATTTCCCTGCCAGCCAGAGCCTCCATCTCTCTGGGGAGGTCACCGGCTTCTCGTTTGTTTTCTAACAAACTTCTGTTCTATGCCAAATGTTTTGACCTCTGAGGGCAGTTCCGAAGTCTTCAAGTGTCCTAAATCTCAGGTGAAAAATCTGCTGAACGCTTGGGCTTGGGAGAGTTACCCTCATGCAGTGGGTCAGTCTGCTCCAGAACTCAGGTTAAGTTGAACTTCTGAACTTCTGTTAAGTTTATGCAGTTATTTTGCCATGTAGATCCCAGAGTCACCGACGTGCAGGAAAGTTCAAACTCAGCTTCTCCTGACCCTGTCCAAACTGGAAACTGAGCAGGGAATGCTCTGGCACTGGAAGAGCGACCTGCAGTGCTGCATTGGGCAGCAAGATCTTCAGGAGCCTCAGCAATTCTTCAGGGGTCCATTTCTAGTGGAAGTAATAAATGTGTGGAGAATTAGGACTTAAGACCTGGAGTTGCTTCCCTCATAGTTCGGAGCAGCTGGTCCCCCCAGACCTCTCAGGGTTTGGGGCTGATCTTGGCACTTCCCCCACGCTGCTGCCTGGGGCTCGCTCTGGTGGGAGGTGTCACAACCCTTCCTTCTCCTGTGGTCACATTTGTCAGTCTCAGAGCTGGAGGCTGGGCAGAGCTTCCCTTAACCCCTGTGTGCCAGAAAGCACTTGTGGAAATAAATACAGTTGTTCTTGTTGAACAGGGAGCAGGGATGAAATGCAGGCAGCAGTTTCCATGGAGATGCCTTGGCTGCAGCAGTGGGCAGGGGCAGGATCGCTCTTTTCAGGGATTCTCCAGCGTTGGGAGGGCCGTGGGTGGGAGGGATAACATCAAAGTCTGTTCTGGAGTGCCAGACTCTTGGGACTTCCCTGTTTTTCATCCCTGTGTAACATTTCCACAGCCCTGGAATTGGTGTGTTCACCTGTAAATAACAGCTCTCTTTTTGTACTCCATTCTGTGTGGTGGTGGTTTTTCCAGGGTGGGTGAACCATTCCCAGCCCTGTTGCACGTGCTGGGCAGGGAGGGGGTTTGGGAGCAGGGGTGGTGGTGTGAGGTGGCCGTGCCTTTCCAGCCAGGTGCTTCCAGTTGTGTTTCCCCCTTCTGTCACCAAGGCCCTGTTCCATTTCCCCCTGTAACCTGAGGCAGCTGCAGCCTCGGCAAGTGCAGTTCCACTTGACACGTTCGTTTTTGCTCTCACTTAATCTGAGTGCTGCTGGAGATGTAAAGAACCTGCTGTGGAATGATTGGATTCGCCCTCATGAGCAGAGCTGGATGCTGGTACCTTCCTCACCTGCTTGGTGACAGTGGCTGCTCTTGCAGAGCCACAGATGCCAGCAGCTGGCTCGTGTCACACTTGGGACTGTAAGCTGCTCTTAAGGAGGAAAAGCACTTTTAAATGTTGGCAAGCACTAAACAGAATGTGCTTAGGACCTGAAAATAGCATCAGGTTCTTCTCTTTGAGCTGATTTTGAAGGTTGAGGTTTTAAAATTTTAGAGGTACTGCCCTGGGGACCTCCTTGTTCATCACAATGCTGGCTTTATACATCTGTTACTTGTTCACTACCAGGTATTTTATTTTTAAGAGATAATCTGTGAGGAAAGGGGGGGCTCACGTGATGAACTCCCTGATCCCATTCCCGTGTGCTGCCTGGGGAGAAGGGAGCTGGGTTTGTCCCTCTGCCCTTGTTCTGCATCCCACATCTCCTGTCCCAGCTGTGGCCTTGTCTGAGCAGTTCTGGCAGCAAAGCAATTGGAAAACACTGCAGGATCCTCTGGAGCGAGCTGGGTGATGGAGATGGAGCAGTGACACCGGGACTGGATCTCTTCATTAGTGGTTCTGGAAGGGCAGAGCCCTCGTCTTGGCATCGAGCAGCAACTTTGATTAGCTTTAACCCAAAAAAATGAATATTAAAATCTTAATTTAATTTAAACCACTGTCATTCACAGTCATGGCAAACAGCAAGCAGAGTAATTATTATGCAAATGAGACAGATAGAAAAATGATTAATAATTGCGCAAATTAAAAATTATTGTAAACATCCTGTGACTGGTGATAAGTCGGGGAGGAGCGTGCGGGGGAGGCAGCGGGGCTCAGCCACCTCCTGCATCTCCATTTCCTCATTAGTGGGAGCAGCAAACGAGGAGCCCAGCGGTGCCTGGGGGAGGCTGGGCCAGGCTGGAATCTGCCCCCGCTTGTCTTCACTGGGAGAAAAGCTGCGTTTAAGCCATTTTCCCCCTTTGTGGAGTCCCTGTGCTCCTGCCACTGCCTGCGTGTCCCCCTGGAGCCTGCCAGGGGATCCCGGCACATTCCCCGTCCCTGCTAACGACCCTCACAGCTCCCCCCAGCAATTACAGAGCTGATTTCTCTGGTGTTTCTCTGCTAATTGCACAGCTGTATTTTTCCCCCCTGTTTTCCTTTTATGCTTTTTCCAGGGAGCAGGGTAATTCCAATCCCAGGCTCTCGTCGGCTCCTGGGCTTCCATGGGCACTGCTCGTGTCAAGGACGAGCAATTAAAGCCTGGCCTCGCGCAGCGTAATTAGATTTTTGTTGATGAGCTCGTGGTAATGTGTTTAGTTTAGATTAAGAGCTTAATTCCTGGGGTGTGACACTGCCTGTCCCCTGTGCCCACAGGAATGGGGCTGGTGGGAGGGGTGGTCCTGGGAGAGGACCCTCAGCCCCCCTGCCTCTCCTGTCACCTGTCCTGTCACCTGTCCTGTCACCTGTCCCCACAAAGGTGAATGTGGCCTCCCCCCCCAGCTGCCTCTTGGCTGTTGTTTTTTTAAAGTGGGTTTTGGCAGCGTTGTGTTATTGCTCTGTTTCCTGCTGAGTTCTATTATTTTTTAATTAAAAAGAGCCTGAGATTTGTCATTTAATGTCTCTCTAAGCGGCAGCAGCTCCAGGTCATGGGTGCTCGGTGGAGCTGGTGCCAGTTGGAGAGACAGGGTGGATTTTAGGTGGTTCCCTAAATCATCCCGGGCTTCCAGCACGGGGCACCTGGGTGTGGGGGCACAGTGGGGTCCCCCCAGGCACAGCCACCCCTTTGCTTTCTGGGGAAGAAGAGTTTTCCCTGGTGACTCCATCCCACAGCGGGGCTGGGAATGAGGATCCCTGAGACTGGCAGGTTAGTGATTGTATATGCATATGTGCACTTTCCCTAATTATGGAATAATTAGGGACACGCAGAGATAAAAATTACTAATAATATTTACTCTAGACTCTATTTTTTTTCAATAACCTCTCTCTCTCTTCCTCCTTCACCGAGTCTTGGTGGAAATAACTTTGCAGATCCCAGCTAATGAATATTTGTAAATGCAAGAACATTCGGCGCCGGAATATCCAGAGGGCATCCTCTCTCTGCCTTGTAATTTTTTTTTCACCAGATATTTAATATTTATGGTTCCACAGCCTCGTGAATAAAGAGCCACACGCAAACCCCCAGGAGCTCGGGGGCCGGGATATTTATGGTGCTTCCTCTTTTCCTTTTCAATTACGAAGACACCTCACATAATTAAGTGCTAATAACCTTGTTAATCTAAAATTGATACTCTTTCTCCTGGCTATCTCTTAATAGAATTAAAAACAGATTAATAATCAAGGCTAGGAGACGTTGTATGGGGTTCAGAGAGAGGGGGCCACGCTCCAGCCCCTCCCGGTGCTCCTGGGAGCTGGAGCTGGGTTGGGATCGGCAGCACCAGGAAAAGGGCTGGCACCGAGGTGTGTTTTCCCCCGTGATCTTTACACAGCTTAAATTTTAAAGACAAACAGCCATGTAACACCGTCTCCTAATGAAACTATTTTATGTTAATTAATTATGTATCAAGGCTCATTTTCATGCGCTGCCCGGCTCCGCTTCCCCTCCGCCGAGCCTTTGATCTGTCAGAGGCTAAACGGGAGATAAATAATCAAATTGAGAGGCAGCCTGGATGGAAATAAACATGTTTTAGATGCGTTATCTGGCGGGCAGAGCAAGGCCCTGGGTAATGGGGCTCAGGGTTCAGCCATGCCCGGCTGCACACGCGGGGTGTGGGAAGTTTCCCGTGCCTGTGTCCCTGCGGCCACCCCTGGGGACAGCACCGTGTCCCTGTCATCAATGGGGTCTCTCTAAGTGTCTGCTTGTCCTCCCTGGGAGCACTGAACTGATGAAGAATTAAAACTCTGCAGCATTTCTTTCTTCCAGCCTGTCCTGGTTTAGGATGCCCTTCACCTGTGCCTTCACCTGTGCCTTCACCTGTGCGGGGCAGCAGCGAGGAGGGAGCAGCCCCGCGTGGCTTCCGTGGCTCATCCTCGCCAGGACAGCAGCGTGTGCTCCTCTGGCTGTGCCAGGTGCGAGTCCAGCCCCGGGGCCGGTGCCCAGCGGGGCCAGCCGGGGCTCTGGGCACGGGCACGGGTCCCGCTGAAGCCGCCAGCCCCGGGCACCCGGCCGTGCCTGTGCCCACCCCGGCGTGTCCCGCAGGCGAAGCCGAGCACGGAGCAATCAAAGGCAGCGCTCAGAGAGCCTCGTCCCCTCCAGTCTTGCCCCGGGCCCTGCCTTTGGGCTTCTGAAGGCTCTGCTCCAGCGGTGTCAGTTCTCATTAATCCACACATCAAAGCCGGAGCTGCCAAACATCCTTGGGAGGCTGTGGGGATCCCTCAGCAGCGCGGCAGAGGGGAGGCAGTGGTGCAGGGGGGCTCAGGGGTGGCACGGCAGGGTCCCTTGGAGCAGGAGGGGGACTTTGACCCTCTGGCTTTGCCCACGGAGCCCCGAGGGAGCTGCCAGGGGCTGCTGGGGAAGGTGTGGGGTGTCCCTGAGCAAGGATGTGAAATAACAGGGCATGGCACTCAGTGCTCTGCTCTGGCTGACAACGTGCTGATCACTCAGACGATCACCTGATGATCTTGGAAGTCTTTTCAAACCGAAATGATTCCGTGGTTCTGCGAAGAAAAGGCCCTCCTGCAGCAGCATCTCCCATGTGTCATGTGTGTGCAAGCAAGGAAAAAAGAGATTTATCAAGAAAACACCCACAAAAACAAAGCAGAGAAGGTGCTGCTGCACTCTGCAGAGTGCCATTTGCCTGCCAAGGTCCTCTCCGTGCCGCTGTCGCTGCAGACTGGGATTCCCTGCTCGGCTCTGCCGTGGCTCAGCATCCTGCCAGTGAGCTAATCAGGTCAATGCATTTTTAACGGGGCATAGGAAATCTTTATATTTTTTGTCAGGCTCATTCTTCTCCCCTGTCTCTCTGTGGGGGCTGAATTATTTAATGCTGAATATCAAGCAGGGCCGGTTTCCCTGTGCCGGCTGCTGACGGTGCATTTTAGTGCTGCTGAGATTGGCAGGTGGCTGTGCTCCGAGCCGGGCCCAGGGGGAACCCGCTGCAGCAGCAGATTACCTGCTTGCAGCCAGATTTATGGCATAACTTGGGTCCTTCTGGGCATCTGAACAAGCAGGTTTAATAATAGGTTTGGAGAAGGGAGGAGCAGTGCCAGAACAGGGTGCTCACAAATCACACCATCCCATCTCCCTAGTCCATCTGTGTGCAGTGACAACATCAGCTGGAGTTTGGGTGTTGATTTCCAGGCTGGGGAAAGCTGGGAGAGCAGAGCAGGATGCCAGGGGATCCAGCAGATCCCTGGTTTGGGGCACCATGGTGGGCAGGGCTGGCCCGGGATGGGGTGGCAGGGAACGTGTGGCAGCGGGCACAGGCCGTGTGTGGCGAGGAGCACCCGTGGGCACACAAACACAAAGGGCTGGTTTGTGTATCGGGGTTTATCTTTCCCATTAATGGCTTTCTAAATTGGTGGCAGTGGAGCAAAAAACCCAATCTGAACTCGGAGCATGCATGATTACTATTGTAATAACCTTGGCTAATAAGAATATGATGTGGTGTTAGGCTGGGAAAGAAAACACATTTCTCATTAGCTTTTTGATTAATTACTCCACATAATTTCCTAGGGGGACATGCCTGGGACTGATTG